GGGCGGTGGCCTCCAGGAGAGGCGTGCGGGGAGGTGGCCGGCTGCCGTGGGCCCGTGGCCGAGTCGCTGCCGATCGTGTCGTCCCTCTGGTCGCTGTGTCTCGTACAGGTGAATGTGGGTTGTTTGCTCCGGCCTTTTGTCTGCTCCTCTCTGCATTTACTGCTGCCTCCTGTCCCTCAGCTGTCCTGCCCACTGCCCAGCTGCAGGGCCCCTCCAGGGTGTGGTAGACTGATGGGAAGCAGGCAGGGAGAAGTTAGGGTCAGTGTCTCATAACTTCTGTGCCACCTGCCAGTTGGTGTATGACACCATTCTCAGGTCTGTGGAATGGCAGTGCGAGCCACAGCTGAGCAGGCGTTGGCTAGAATGTCAGGGGTGTGGCTCTCCTGTGGAAGGAGACACATCTTTGGTTTAAAAAAACATAACTTCTGATTTTCAAAATTATTTAATAAACTGTGTTTCCTGATACCTTTGGGATATATACCTGTTTTCTAAAAGAAACCCTGCATTGGTTTAAAAGGCTGGTTTATTAGAGGAGGATTGGTTAATATCACTGTGACTATAAACATTCTTGTAGCTTTTGCGAGTAACAAATGTGCTGGAAGATCGTGGTGCCTTTTCAATATCATTTTTAATGTTTTGGACAAGTAACTCGTAATTCTTACTTCGTGTTTTAGGTATTATTTTGTACTTCGTTTCAGTGGCTCTTGCTGCTTTGCTCATGGTTGGAATTCAAGGAGAGCTTGTTTTGCCTGGCCATCTGCATAATTACAAATTTATGACCAGCACTTACGGTTGCGGGTGTGTACTTACAAAAGAAGTGTTGTTTAGAAATAGACTGGGAGCCACATAAATAAGTTGATTTTCAGCAAGTTACATTAAAAAGAAATCGGTGAAATCTGTTTTAAGAGTGTTTTGTTTTGTCCTGTGTGTCCAGAATGCTGTTGGAACAATGGTCAGTAAGGACAGACACTTGACACCCCACCTCTTGGGGGGCATCCGGGCTCAGACACAGCCCCGCCCCAGGGCCTCCAGGGCCACTGTGTGGTGTCCCCCAGGTTGCTCTCCCACCTCTGTGGTCGCCTTGGGCCCCAGTGTTCACACTGTTGCCGACAGCTGCCAGGGCGGGCTAGGCACGCAGGCAGAGGGTTCTGGGCTGGGAATCACTGTAGGAGTGTAAAGCAGGAACTGCAGATCGTTGTCTTATGCGTTGTTACTTAGAAATAAGACATTGAAAAGGAGCTTAGTATTTGCTTTGGTGTGTGTGCTTGTGTGGTAGGTTACGAACTCCAGAGACTAAGGGGTTCACGTTGCCACAGGTGGTGATTGGACCTGTCCAGTGGCTGACCTCTGACCTGTTCTGTCAGGTGGACATGACGTTTCTATGCTCTGTTGCACTCCTGGCTTCTGGCCTTGACTGCCATGGCCAGGCAGAGACAGCGGACACAGTGCAGCCTGGCAAAGGGGGTGATGTTTTTGGTTTAAAATATCTATCCACACTGACTCAGTATCTGTGACCAGACATGTCCTTAGGAGATTTCCACTGCTGGCTATTCATCTCTACCAGGTGGCGTGCCCCTGCAGGCAGCCATGGTGCCATGTGTTCCTGTCTAGGAGATCCAGATGCCAGTCAAACGTGGACATCTCTTAAATATTCTGGATCCGCGTTCTTTTCTTGGACTTCAAGCCTAGTTCCTGTCACTGTCCTAGACATTCTGATTCATTTATGTTGGGTTTATACCCAACGTTGTATGCACGTTCAGATTCAGATTGGTCTTTGGTCTTTGGAGGTGTCTAATAATCAGGAGTTCTCTTTCCTCGAAATGACAGGCAGATTTTCCTGTAAATTCAACCTACTTGGAATTGAAGGAACCAATTGTTAAATTAGAATTCAGACGAGTTGCCTGTGTGAGGAAACAGTCACTCTCGGTTTGGGAGTGCTGTGTTCATCCGTTGCTGAAGGAGGGGCTGGCATGCTGGGCACGCAGTCTGATGTGGGGCCCACCACCCAGGCCCAGCAGTTAGGTTACTTGTGCACTGGATGAGTTGTTCCTTCAGTCCAATGGCCGACCTCCCCGTCTCGGATTTGCAATGAAGAGAAACCTGTAGGCAGCCCTGGGGAAGCTGCCGAAGCCAGGACAGTTCTTGCCAAGAGGCTGGTGGGAGTGGTGCGGTTGCCCCAGCAGCGGTAGTGCCCGGGGTGGTAGGCACCCACCAGCACCTGAGTGAAGAATGAGGAGGAGCCGCCGAAGCCAGGAGCCTCTTCCAGACATCCCATGCAGATGCAGGGTCCCAAGGTGTTGGGTCGTCCTCACTGCTTTTCCAGGCCACAAGCAGGGAGCTGGATGGGAAGCAGGGTGGCCGGGATTAGAACCGATGGCCACGTGGGGTCCCAGTGCATGCAAGGCGAGGACGCAAGCCACTTGGCTACTGTGTTGGACCCTGATTTCTTATTTTTTAATTGTGAAATCAATGTTGCATGACCCGAAAGATGATGCCTATGGGAATGCTATGTACGCTGGTTCCTAGGAGCATTGGAGGATTTGCCATGGGGGTTGCAGTCTCTGGAAAGCAGAGCAGACAATGTGCCTGGGCTCCTGTTGAATCAAGGAACCACATGGCAGTGGCTGGTGGAGACAGAGGGGTGACTTACTGTGGGATGACAGCCACCAGAGCTGCCGTCTAGAGAAAAGCCTCTCTGGGGCAGGGCTGTGGGCACAGACCCTCCCCTGGGGCAGGGCTGTGGGCACAGACCCTCCCCTGGGGCAGGGCTGTGGGCACAGACCCTCCCCTGGGGCAGGGCTTGAGGGCACAGACACTCCCCTGGGGCAGGGCTGTGGGCACACTCCCCGGGCAGGCACACACTCCCCTGGGGCAGGGCTGTGGGCACAGACACTCCCCTGGGGCAGGGCTTGAGGGCACAGACACTCCCCTGGGGCAGGGCTGTGGGCACAGACACTCCCCTGGGGCAGGGCTGTGGGCACAGACACTCCCCTGGGGCAGGGCTGTGGGCACAGACACTCCCCTGGGGCAGGGCTGTGGGCACAGACACTCCCCTGGGGCAGGGCTTGAGGGCACAGACACTCCCCTGGGGCAGGGCTGTGGGCACAGACACTCCCCTGGGGCAGGGCTGTGGGCACAGACACTCCCCTGGGGCAGGGCTTGAGGGCACAGACACTCCCCTGGGGCAGGGCTGTGGGCACAGACCCTCCCCTGGGGCAGGGCTGTGGGCACAGACACTCCCCTGGGGCAGGGCTGTGGGCACAGACACTCCCCTGGGGCAGGGCTGTGGGCACAGACACTCCCCTGGGGCAGGGCTGTGGGCACAGACACTCCCCTGGGGCAGGGCTGTGGGCACAGACACTCCCCTGGGGCAGGGCTGTGGGCACAGACACTCCCCTGGGGCAGGGCTGTGGGCACAGACACTTGGTGAACAAGGGCTGAATGATGCATGGACTAGTCAGTGTGGCTGGGGAGGTCTAAGCCTGTATGTTCTTGGCGTGTCTTAGATCTCTGGAGCAAGGGACCCACGCTGGGGCCGGTGACGTCGGCTGAGGGGCACATTTGCCACCCTTGTGCTTGCTGCTGAGCCGTATGCCTTTTGCACATTTGAATTCTTAAGCCAACAGTTCAAAATAAATGTGGTGTAAGACAGGGCAGGCTTGGCCCACTGTCCAAGAGGGCAGGAAAGGAAGGGGTGGAGTGGGGAGCTGGGTGCCTGAGGCTGTCAGGGCAGCAGGAGATGGCCCTGGCTGCCATGTGGCTCCTGGGGTAGCCTGGTCCAGCCTTGGACAGCACTGGCCCTGAAACGCAGGCTTTGTAAAATGTTGGTGTGTAATACTTTCACAGCTCGTAGAACATAGAGTGCCGTTATCTTTTACAGTAAAATCTGTGTAGGTTGAGTCTTCTTTACTTTGTCTTTAGGCTTGTAATAGAGAATATTTTCTGCATAATTATTTCTCACTACCTGTGTTTCTGTTCCAGTTTGCCACTAGAAGTTTATCATGTTAAGATTTGAACCACAGTATATGTATGAAAAGAATAAGAATGTGAGAGCTATAGTAAATATTGTAATGTTGGGATCCCATAAAAACATTGCTTTCCATGAGTTAAAATGTGTTAAAAGTAGCTGACCTTCCGTGTCACATGGGCGGCTTGTAGCTGTCCAGATCTGTGCACTCTGGTTCACACTGCTGTGGTTCACACTGCTGTGGTTCTGTGGTTCATGCTGCTGTGGTTCTCCGGTTCACACTGCTGTGGTTCACACTGCTGTGGTTCTCCGGTTCACGCTGCTGTGGTTCACACTGCTGTGGTTCACGCTGCTGTGGTTCTGTGGTTCACATTGCTGTGGTTCACACTGCTGTGGTTCTGTGGTTCACGCTGCTGTGGTTCTCCGGTTCACACTGCTGTGGTTCACACTGCTGTGGTTCACACTGCTGTGGTTCTCCGGTTCACGCTGCTGTGGTTCACACTGCTGTGGTTCTCCGGTTCACACTGCTGTGGTTCTGTGGTTCACGCTGCTGTGGTTCTCTGGTTCACACTGCTGTGGTTCACACTGCTGTGGTTCTCCGGTTCACACTGCTGTGGTTCTCCGGTTCACACTGCTGTGGTTCACACTGCTGTGGTTCTGTGGTTCACGCTGCTGTGGTTCTGTGGTTCACACTGCTGTGGTTCTCCGGTTCACACTGCTGTGGTTCACACTGCTGTGGTTCACACTGCTGTGGTTCTCTGGTTCACACTGCTGTGGTTCTCCGGTTCACACTGCTGTGGTTCACACTGCTGTGGTTCTCCGGTTCACGCTGCTGTGGTTCACACTGCTGTGGTTCTCTGGTTCACACTGCTGTGGTTCTCTCCTTGGGTAGTTTGTTCAGGAAAGCAGAGCACTTGGTATGACCAAATGCAGGAGAAATCCCTGGGTTCTCAGGTGAAGGAGAGCCAGGGCCAAGCTGCCTGTGCACCGTAGGGCCTGCTCATGTCTCTCTTTTGGCTTTGTTGTTGCTCAGGGGGCCGGCCAGGATAAGCTGGGCATCTACGTGAAGTCTGTCGTGCGAGGAGGCGCTGCCGACGTGGTGAGTACCTGCTGCTCTGAGGGTGAGGGCACACAGTTGGGCCACACCTCACCCTGGCCTCTCTTTCCTCCAACCCACGCACACCTGCTGGGCGGGCTGCACAGGATGGACGGCTGGCCGCAGGGGATCAGCTGCTGAGTGTGGACGGCCGGAGTCTGGTGGGACTCTCTCAGGAAAGGTACGGCCTGCGTCTGTCGGGCAGGGTTGGCACTCCAGCCGAGCAGAGCACTGAGACACTTTGCTCCCGAGAGGTGTCACCTTTTTAGTGTGAAACTCTTGGAGCACATGGCTGTTTCTCTATTTAAATGTGTGTGTTTTCATCTGCATGGCTGTCAGCAGGTGTTAGACCAGGCTTTGATACTGTCGGCACTGCGGCAGTTCTGCTGCAGCCTGAGCTCTGAGCATGGGGTGCCTACCCTGTGTCATACTTAGAGTTCATGGTGGAGAGCTGTCTGTGAGCCAGAACTGGGCCCGGCTCTGGCTGGCAGCGCTATTGCCGTCTCACCTTTTGCCTTGGTGGCACTCTCTTTGCAGGGCTGCAGAACTCATGACAAGGACGAGTTCCGTGGTGACGCTCGAAGTGGCAAAGCAAGGCGCCATCTACCACGGGCTGGCCACACTCCTCAATCAGCCCTCCCCCATGATGCAGAGAAGTAAGGACCAGTGCGCTCCTGTGCAGCTTGATGCTGGCGTGAGGGTGGGCCCAGGCTTGAAGATCTGGAGCTGGGGATACAAGCACTCGAGTGAAAGGCTCCCTGTTTCCCATAACGCTGGGACTACCCTGGGTTCACCTGGCACCCACCTCCCGTTGTGCTGTTGTTAAGGCTCTGAGCAGGTGCCCCATCCTTGGTGGAGGTTTTCAGTCTCTGGGTGAGCGTGTGCAACAGGCATTCCTGTGAATGAGGAGAGGCCTCGTGACCTTCCTGTGTGATTCACTTTTGGCAACACCTGACTGATTTATGTAGTCTATTTTTGGGAATTGTGGTTTGTGGCTTTCCAAAGAAACTCAGTAAAATTAATATGAATTTAGAATTTCTTAAGGAGAAAATTGCTGGGACACGGTTTGTCTGACATTGTTGTGCCCCCTTTGCCATCAATGTTGAGACAATCTGCCGGGGATCTGGTGGACCCTCCTCTGCCCAGCTCAGGGAGCCGGCACTGCCCAGGCCAAGGGTCAGCATGCTGGGACCCCTGCAGGGCCGCTGTGGCTGGCCTGGACACGATATAAAACTTAATATCCTGAAGGTCTGATTTCCTGATAGTTCACGGGCCTTTAAGGGAAGCACGTTGGAATCAAAGAGGGAGGCTGTTAAAAGCAGATAATAAACGCGGGTCAGCAAGTGGAAGAAAGGAGAGAGCCCGCAGCAGAGAACGGAGTGCTGGTGTCCCGGGAAGGCTGCTCCCGCCGCCGACGCCTGGGCCCGACGTGGGCCGTGGGGGCCGTGGGGCCGTGGGGGCCGTGGGGGCCGTGGGGGCCGTGGAAGCAGTGCTTCTTGAAGAAGCAGTGGAAACATATTAACCCTTCAGGTCGGTTTAAGAATGGTTGCCTTTTTACTTAAAATGGGAGGTTCCATTTATGAGAAAACGAACTGTTTTTCCCACTGGTAATCGGTCAGATAAAATTTTTTCCGTGTATTTATTTGAAAGCTTTTTAATGAATCTGTAGAAACAGTTTGTTCTTGTGGGAAATGCGCGTACTTCTTACAGTAGAGACATTGCTCATGTGATTCCAAATATCTGTGGGTCCATTTAGTCAGGCTGTGTCCTCCGAGACCAGATTCTGAGCAGGTGGAGGACTTGACCATTCTGGTTTCAGTTTCAGATCGCCGTGGCTCAGGTAAACCTCGGCCGAAGAGTGAGGGTTTTGAGCTGTATAACAGTTCTGCTCAAAACGGGTCACCTGGAAGTCCCCAGATGCCCTGGGCGGAACCCAGCGAGCCGAAGAAAATGCCCGGTGATGACAGATTGACGAAAAACCGCGCCGATCACCGCTCCAGCCCCAATGTTGCAAGTAAGAGGAGTCAGCTCCTCCCGCCCGCGTCCACCCTGAGCACAGTGGGAATGAGCGACACCTTGTGGTTTGATTTTTGCGTTGAAGGTGTTGACTGCGGGTGTTGGCTAGCCAGGATCTAGTTTTCCTAGCAATGCCTCCTTCCCATCCTTTTGGTGGAGATAAGAGCCAAGTTGGTTAACTCTGATTCAGTTGATGACATCCTGCAGGAGCTGGCAGATACATGGGGGGCTAGGAAGGGGTGCCACGCCTGAAGGCTGCTGCCAGCAAGGACTCACAGGCGGGCTTGCTGCCCAGACACGAGGTCCATGGGCCTGGCCCCTCCCCCAGGGCATGCCAGCTGTCCCCGGGCATGGGGGCCATGAGACCACTCCACAGCCAGCGCCTGTGTGTCGCCATGCCAGAGCCCTTGCTCGCATGTGGCGTGGTGGATGCAAGAAAGCTGTTACACCCTGTTCATTAACCTTGTCCTCAACTTTCTTCCCCTGCCTTTTCCCAACAGATCAGCCCCCCAGCCCCGGAGGGAAGGGCGCCTATGCCTCTGGAGCTGCAGCTAAGATAACGTCCGTCTCCACGGGGAACCTCTGTACCGAGGTCAGGGCGATCCGCCTTTCACCAGGCTTTTCCTTGACTGTCCGGGGCATTTTTACTCAAGAAATCAGTGTTGGTTACAATTTTCTGAGTCTCCAGAATTTTGACCTAGTTTTCTGTGAGAGGCATGCAGAGTGTGTCTATCTGGTAGTTCCCTTCCCGAGTGCCTACAGCAAGCAGGACTGGGCGGCTGAGCCCGGGAGCGTGGAACTCCTTCTGGGTTTTCCACGGGTGGGCAAGGGCCCTCGTGCTTGAGCCCTCATGCTGCCTGTGTGGCGTGCGTTAGCAGGAGGCTGGTTCTGAAGCAAAGCAGCCAGGACTGAAAACGGGCCCTCCAGAGTGGGATGCTGGCCCCCCAGTTGGCATCTGGCCTGCTGGGGCACACACTTGCCCCACCGCGGTTTATAATGGCTGAATTTGCGGCGTCTCGTCTTTGACTGTTAACATGCTGGTCTAGTAGACAAGTTTCAAACTAGTATGTTGGGCAAGAGCAGATGTTCCCCTTAGTCACACTGCGAAGTTGAACACTTGGATTTTAATGCAGTTGTGGAACATATTTTTGTAAAGTTTTCTCCAAGAGACCGAGTCTGCTGAATGCCAGCAAACTTGCTCTTGTCTGTGCTTGGCATTTCCACAGGAGCAGCCACCTGCACCCCGACCTGAAGCTTACCCCATCCCCACTCAGACCTACACCCGGGAGTACTTCACCTTCCCGGCCTCCAAGTCGCAGGACCGGATGGCGGCTCCTCCGAGCCAGTGGCCAGGCTATGAGGACAAGCCGCACGTCCACATGGACAGCAGCCACGTGAGCCTCGCGGTGCAGGTACCTGCCTTGCTGCCAGGACAGAAGCAGTGTCTGAGGCACAGCTGGCACTTTCTTAGGCCTCCCTTCCTGTCCTGTCGGAAGTTACGGCGGGGGGGAAGGGGAAGCTTCGGGGGATACTGTTGGATGCTAGGCTGTTAGAACCCTGTGCCAGCTGAGGAGGACTGCCCCTTGCTGTTGATCTGAAGCTGATCCAGCAGCGTTGGCAGCCAGCCCTTGCCTGTCAAGGTGCAGGAATGCCTTAGGATTCTGTGACCTGGAAGCGGCTGGTGTCGTACAGCCTGGACTGACGAGCTTTGTTCGTACTTGGGGAGTCAAGCTGGGCAGGTGTCCTTAGAGAGGGAGGGGCCAGGGGTGTGTGCACGTGCCACACCATGTCTGCGTGTGCCCAGTTAGTGGGAGTGCTGCCTCAGCCACTGGCCTCTCCGCTCAGCGCCATCTCCCCTATCTGCCCTGCAGTTGGCATGTGTGTGTGGGCTTTTGTGAGCTGTGCTGTGTGCTCTCTCACCAGCGCGTTACACGTTCCCAGGAGGAGCTGAGGGAGGACAGGGCCTTCCAGCTTGAGCGACACCGCATGGAGTCCGTTATGGACCGCAAGGCCGACAGCGATATGTGGTTAAACCAGAGCTCCTCCGTGGAGTCCAGCACCTCCAGCCAGGAGCACCTGAACCATTCCTCCAAGCCCGGGACTCCGGCCTCCACACTCACCAAAAGCGGGCCAGGCCGGTGGAAAACGCCCGCTGCCGTGCCCATGCCAGCCGCCCCGGTGGCCGTCTCACAGCCCTTCCGAGCAGACCTGCCTCCGCCGCCCCCTCCACCTCCAGCCCACTATGCCAGTGACTTGGATGGAATTCCTGTGGATTTACCTCTGCCCCCACCTCCTTCTACCAGCCAGCCAGGACCGCAGTCTGCCCAGGTGGCCACTGCAGAGCGCAAGAAGAGGGAGGAGCAGCAGCGGTGGTACGAGAAGGAGAAGGCTCGCCTGGAGGAGGAACGTGAGCGGAAGCGCCGGGAGCAGGAGCGCAGGCTGGGCCAGATGCGCACCCAGGCCCTGAACCCGGCCCCGTTCTCGCCTCTGCCCGCTCAGCAGGCGAAGCCCGAGAAACCCTCCACGCTCCAGAGGCCCCCCGAGACGGTCATCCGGGAGCTGCAGCCGCAGCAGCAGCCGCGCACCATTGAGCGCCGGGACCTGCAGTACATCACCATCAGCAAGGAGGAGCTGTCCTCTGGGGACAGTCTGTCTCCTGACCCCTGGAAGCGTGATGCCAAGGAGAAGCTGGAGAAGCAGCAGCAGATGCACATCGTGGACATGCTGAGCAAGGAGATCCAGGAGCTGCAGGCCAGGCCCGACCGCACTGCCGAGGAGAACGACCGACTGCGCAAGCTCATGCTGGAGTGGCAGTTCCAGAAGCGGCTGCAGGAGTCGAAGCAGAAGGACGAGGAGGACGAGGAGGAGGAGGAGGAGGACGTAGACACCATGCTCATCATGCAGCGTCTGGAGGCCGAGCGCAGAGCCCGGGTAAAGCGGGGAGCTGCTGTGGCTGTGCACATCGTGCCGCTGCTGCCTGCATGCTGGCCGGCAGCTGAGGCCGCGGCGTGCTGTCCCGCGTGCCGCTGTCCGCTCAGGTGCTGCGGGGGGAGTGGGCATTTGTGAGACGTCTACTGTGGCAAGCCCCAGTGCAGTTCACAGGGCCTGGCTGTGGGCACTGGCGAACTCCCTGCAGCTGGGGACACGAGTGTATGCTCCTGACCGCTAGTCGTGTAGACTGGAGATTGGCAGGAGTTTTTGCATATGCCAGAGAGTAGATGCCGTGGCTTTGTAGGCCAGCTGGGAGCTCGCCATTGCTCTGCTTGACCCACATAGGACAGGGGTAACGGCTGCCTGCTCAGTGGACACCATGTAAACATGGCTGTTGGTGTAAGCTGTGGGCCTCAGAGCAGCAGTTGTTCCTGTTGGCTAGCCCAGAACACCAGAGGTAAGGCTTCCGTGTCATCACCAGAAGTGGAACCTGTACTTCTAGGTATGCTAATGGAAAACAGGCATTTACCAAGTTATTCAATGGTCCATTTTAGCTGTAACATAAAAATACCAAGACTGTCTTATTCATATTTCTGCATAATATAAAACTAGCTTTTGCTCTGTTTTGTTTCAAATAAAAGCAAAATTTAAGTTAGTTTAATGCAATAAATGATTAGAAAATCAACTTTAGACAGCAGCAGGATACTCTGTCAACTTCTCAGGAGAGCTGTTAGGGAGAGGCCATGATGTCACTGCTTTTGATGGCTGGTGTATGGACCAGGCCGAGCTGCTGAGTCCCAGCGACCGTCCCTTTGTCCGCAGGCTTGGGCAGTGTTGTGGGGAAGGGCAGGTGAATACAGCTCTTATCTGGTGGATTTTTGTGTCTGATGGAAGTCCTTTCCTAGAGCTGTGTGCTAGAAGCTTCTGACCCACACGCTGTTGGTTCAGACAGCCAGACCCCAACTGTTGAAGAGGCTTCCTTGAAGAGCCTCCTGAGGTCCTCTCCATTTGCCCCGTGGAGCTTTCCCCAAAAGCCACACGTGCACGTTGTTCATATATGTGTGAGCCTAAAGTGCTCGTGGCTGTGCCCTCCGAGACACTTCCTTAGAGAAGTGCACAGTGTCAGCCGTGGGCCAGGCCACCCCAGCAGCCTGCAGCTCAGTGTGACCACTCTGCTTACTTGAGAGCCATGTCACTGCACGTCTGCCACAAGCAATCTGTCTGCTGGCAGAGCTCAGTGAGAGGCCTGCAGCCCCGGAGACCCAGTGGACACTGATGGACTCGCCCAGAAGCTGCGTGTGCTCATGGCCTTCTGTCTCTGTCCCGCTAGGCCCCCGGAAGGGTCCCTGCACCATGCCAGGTTCAGCCTCTGAGCGTGTGGCCGCTGCAGCCAGCAGCAGCGACAGGTCAGCACGCGTGTGCCGTGTCTCACATGAACAGCAGGACTGCATCAAGGTTGGATGGCAGGCCTAGCAGGTGTCCCGAACAGTCCTGCACACAGTCTATTCCAAAGTCCTTTAGTGTGATGGTGCTTGAGAAGTTTCTTACCAGAATTTAGTAAAAATTATTTTTCCTGTGTCATGAATTCTGTAATGCCTGACCTCCAGATGAGACAGCCAAGGGGACTTTTGCTTCGTGTTTCTATACGTCTGATGAGACTCAAGTATTGAATTCCAGGTGGACTTTGTCCTTTTTCTGAATCTAGAAGTTGGCCTGTAATTCTTGACCTTTCTCGTGGGGTTGTCCAAAAACAGATGACGCATGGAAGTGGCAGACACGCCGATGGCTTGCAGAGGCCTGAGCTAACTGTTCACACCTCATCTTTCTTTTTTTCCCTTTCTGTTACCTGCAGCAGACTGCTGTGCCCGCAATCTCTGTTCTAGACTTGGTATGTTCCTCTTTCTTTCCCTTTGGTATTCTTTTGCTGTCTGATTTCCTTTTTCTTGTAGTGGTGGTTGTCTCGTTTTCAGTAGACCCAGCTCTCGGGATGTCCTAGGCCAGGGGTGTAGTCCTGTGGCCCTAGAAGCATGCCTGAATGTTACTAGATTTAGTCACTCTACTTTCCCCTGTTCATTTTTACTGTGACTGTTTGTTTGCACTTTTGATCTTTTCTGAGTTTCAGTGCAAATTTGATTCTGTGTATCCTATGTAGTCTTAAGTGCATGAGCTAATGAAACGAACCGCAATGTGACTCCATTTAATTAAAGCAGCTGTAAGGGCTCAGTCGAGATGCTGTTGACACTGCTAGCTGAGGCATCGCTGTCTTGATAGTGAGAGATTGCGTGTGCATGGGTCCTTGTCCCCTCGGGTGATGTATCAAGTTCCTCAGCCGTGCCAGTTAAGAGGTCGGTGTGGTGGGCCATGCAGCACGCTGTCTTTGGAGTGGTAGGTTCGTCTCAGTGCCTGTAGATGCCAGGTTAACCAGCTTCTGAGCAGAGGGGGCGGAAGCAGACCGACCAGTAACAAGAAATGCCACGCAGGGTGACTCCAGTGCTCCCCAAGCGAGGCTGTTGCCCCCTTGCTTTTTTCTAATCTAAGTAGCCTCTTGACCGTGTCATGCCAGAGACAAAACTTTCTTGCAAACTTCTCCCTTCTTTAGTGTGTGAAAGGCAGATTTTCTGCATTGTACATTTTTTACACAAAGCAGAGGTAATACAAATATCTCCATTTTTCTCTGTGTGTCCCTGTGACTGAAACATAACCCTTCCTTTCTGTGGTCACGAACACGAGTGAGCTGAGCAGCCCTGATGGGCCCTCTCCAGGGGAGGACAGCGTCCGAGCAGCAGCTGTGACCCCTCTCCTCCCCCAGGGCTCTCACTGGCCCTTGCTGTTGCCAGGTCAGCCTCTCCACCCACTTGGGGTGGGCTCAGCTTGCTCAGTTACCCAAGACCCCTGGCTCCTCACCCTTGACCTCTTACCCTGGCCTGAGCTTCTGTCCTTTCCTGGCTGGCTCCTGCAACAAAGTGGGGCTGGGCTGCTTGCTTTTGCCACAGGTCCCCCAAGGGCGTGCTTGATGCAGCAGCCACAGGCATGCTGGGAGGAGGGCCAGACAGCCATTCCCAATGGTCCTGGGCTGCAGCTGTTCCTGGACCTGTGCCAATGACAGCCAGCCAGCCTAGGTGCCCCTCAGTGTGGCTGCCTCTTCTCTGCACTCTCCCCCGCCCCGTGGCTGCGCCCCCAGCTGTGTATGCCTTGCTCAGGTGAAGCCGTCCCGGGAGTGCCCTGCATCCTCAGCTCTCGTCCCTGTGCCCTGCTTCTGTCTTCCGGCATCCTGAACGTGCCTTACCATCTTGCATGTCTGCCGCTCCATGGAACAAGACCCTGGACTATCTGTCCAAGTTTCCTGAGAGTTCTGGCATGTGGTCAGCACTCAGTCACACTGAGTGAGTGAAGTGTCGTCCACTTCCTGAGTGGGGTTACCGTTCTTCCCAGTGCAGAGTCCTGTCACAGTGCCCAAGACAAGATGCCCCTGTGCATTGTGGGCAGGTCCACGTCCCCAAAACCCGGGTGTGTTGTGGCGCTCTGTGCTCTCCAGGGAGCCCATCTGATAGGACAAGCCCACTTAGAACCTGGTGTGGGGGGGCACCTCTCCTGGCTGACATGAGGCTGCAGGAATCTGCAGGTGTGGGAGGATAGGGCACCTGTGCCTTATGTGTTGCGATAGCTGCCAGACGCTCTGTGTAGAATATTCTCTCTTAAAAAGAAACCTGCCTGTGGGTAGGGCAGACAGCAGGCTGACCCAGCCCCATGGAGCAGAGGGGAGCTGGAATTCTCACCCGAGGAACTGCTTTTCTGCTGCACCTGCTCTGGGCCTGGCTGTCTGAGGGACCAGGCAGTGCTGGCTCATCTGCTGATGTGGATGACACAGGAGTGTAGGATAAACTGGGTTTGGGGCCACTCCATTGAAGAGGTGTTTTTGAAGACTAGGTGCCCATGGCTTGCATGAAAAACATAAGGTCTCCCCTCTTATTGGAATGAGGGACCACAAACATTGGGCACACTCAGGGATAAAGGGGTAGAAATGAAGTCCTATGAAAACCATGAGGAGACCTACTTGAGGGCTGCCCTTCATTCATTCAGCCTGGGCACTGGGGCCAGCAAGCATTGTGGTGTCAGCAATAGGGATGCAGAGAGCCACGGAGGATTTCACGAAGTGCGTGGATTTACAGTTGTTTGTACCAGAGTAAATTTGTCTTTCAAGTTCATTTTCCATGAACTTTTTCTAGTGCTGTTGTGTGTGAGGGAGGGTGAGCTGATGGCACTGGACCTGATGTGCCCAGGCCTCCCTTCCCGGGGTTGCGCACGGGAGCAGCCCAGCACCGTGTGAAGCAGTCATCACCCTAATAGACCTGCAGACCCTGGCTCAGGGAGGCACTCCGTGCCGCAGGGATGCTGCTGCTTGCTGAAGGCCAGCCCTGGGATGGCCTGCAGTGGCACAGGCTGCCAGAGGCCTGAGATACTAAGCTGATGGGCACATGTTCTCGTCCCCCGATGGCAGGAGCTCACTTGGGGAGCAGTGAGGAGACTCAGCAGAAAGTCCCTGGGTGCAAATGCCAGGGAGAGGAGGTGGGAGCCAGACCTGCCGTGGCACTCCACTGCAGCGTTTGTGCAAATGAAACAGCTGCGGGCATGTGTGGCTTTTAGCCTGGAGTGCAGACTACCAGTATGGCAAACCTTCCTTCACGTGGCCATGCTGGCTTTGAGATTCCAGCGTTTTCTTGACCTGGAGTGACTTCGGTTTGCACTGTGTTGATTGGCCAGGTGGACGTCCCAGGGCTCCGCCCCTGCTCAGCGGCTGCACACTGCAGTCCATTCTGCCGAGCCCAGCGTGCCGAGTCTGCTGGTGACCGAGCAGAGTGCTGAGGACAGGAAGGCTGATGTGGGCTGTGGCGTGAGTCCACACTTGTGCCACTCACTGTCAGTGAACATCCAGCTCAGAGTGCTGCGGAGGCATTGACACGTGCTTGGGAAATGGAGCAGCTCTTATTTAAATGGCTCAGTTACCCAACTAAAAGAAAGACACTGCCTTAATTGCGAACATCTGGTTCAGTTGTTTGCCTTTTAAAAATAGTAGGAAGTAACAGAGCCCAAGAAGAGGGTGTCGGCTCCGCACCCCCAGACTGAAAGCAGGGCTTGTCGGAGGAAGTGACAGAGCCCAAGAAGAGGGTGTCGGCTCTGCACCCCCAGACTGAGGGCAGGGCTTGTCGGAGGAAGTGACAGAGCCCAAGAAGAGGGTGTCAGCTCTGCACCCCCAGACTGAGGGCAGGGCTTGTTGGAGGAAGTGACAGAGCCCGAGAAGAGGGTGTCGGCTCTGCACCCCCAGACTGAGGGCAGGGCTTGTCGGAGGAAGTGACAGAGCCCAAGAAGAGGGTGTCAGCTCTGCACCCCCAGACTGAGGGCAGGGCTTGTCAGAGGAAGTGACAGAGCCCGAGAAGAGGGTGTCGGCTCTGCACCCCCAGACTGAGGGCAGGGCTTGTCGGAGGAAGTGCAGGGCTTGTCAGGCAGCATTTGTGCTCTGGCTTGTGGAAAGTGTTCATGTTCAGCTTAGGACGTCACATGGCTGTAAGGATTAGAGTATTTTTTGTTCACAACCTCTGATTGGGCCTAGGAAACGTAACACGGGCGGTTTTGTGCTTTGTCGCCTGTGGCGTCTGGGTATTTGTTGTCCCCCCAGGCACGAGGGACTCGGGGGTGGCCTCACTGTGGGGTGACTGGGCACCCGGGCAGGCGCTCAGCTGCGTGCTCTGCAGCTCCCTCCCAGGGCCGTGGTCAGTGAAGCCATACTCGTCCTCAGGGAATGCCGAGCTGACACTGGAGAACAATTTATTAGCCTTTCATTTTTTTTTTCTGCCCTCTTTCATTACTGTTTGCTGACATGAAAAACCAGATGGCAGGGATTAATTTAGTCTTTCCCGGCATAGAAATGCAAGCAAGCCATTCAGCTCAGTGTTGCGTTTTTGAGCTGTTGTTATTCTATGACGTATGATATGTTATGTCAATATTCTGCATCCCACCAGATAGGAACAAAGAATTACCACATTTTTGTTTCCAAAGAAAACACAAACAATTCAGATCCAGAAGTTAGCTGTTTTTAAATGTGGCTCTGAGCATCTACAGTTGCATAGAAGTTGAAGGCTCTGGCTGGCAGCTGAGGGAGAGGCTCCTGGCGTGGCTGGCCTGCACTGGAATTGCCTGGTGCTGTGTGGTGTGCAGGTAGCGAGAGCACGGTCGAGGCTGGCCCTGCGCTGGACCCCTGGGCAAGCAGGCTCCTCGGGACGCTAGGCTCGAGCGCTCAGGAGCTCGGGCAGAAGGAACAGTCCGGGCGTTTGGTGTGAGGAGGAAAGTCTTTTGCTTTCTGTTCTTCAGAAAGACCGAGTTCCCCAAGTGATGAGTTCGAGACCCCTATCTGAACTCTTGAACTCACTAAGTACTGTGCCTACACAGAGTTAGAACGAGGGGCCTTCCCAGCCTAGTGTGGGGTGTGGGACTCAGACAGAGATGGGGTGTCTGAAGTCAGGACAGGGCCGGGAGCAAGGCTGTAGGTCCCTGATGCCCAGGAAGAGCAGGGGGCTCTGAGCCTGTGCGTTGTCAGTGGGGGTCCAGTGCTGCCTCCCGTGTCCCACCCGCTGAGGCAGGGGTCTGCCTGCTCCGGCCGGGGCTCGGGGTGTGCTGGGCTGCCACTGAGTGTGTGTCAGAGGAACTCCTTGTTGGAGCCGTGATTGGTGAAGAGCAGCTCTGGGGCTGTGAGGCACCGTTTAGCTGACTGGATTTGTAGAACTGTAAGATGGGCAAGTTTTACCCTTTTCCAGCAGTGCTTTCTAGCTTGGCATTTTGTACTGAACTCTGTGTCTGTGTCTTCTGTCTGCACGTGTGCTCTATGTCTCGTGCTGGGGACTCTGGAAGGAAACTGAAGCCAGCGTGCTGTTAGTTGCAGGATGAGGAGCGCAGGCGGCAGCAGCAGCTGGAGGAGATGCAGAAGCGGGAAGCGGAGGACCGCGCCCGGCTGGAGGAGGAGCGGCGCCGCCAGGAGGAGGAGCGAGCCAAGCGAGACGCTGAAGAAAAGGTTATGGTTCTCTAAGGGCAGGTAGCGCTTGGCCGAGTTAGCCTGCACATTCCTGCGGGGTTGGCTGGGGCAGAGGGACTGGACACGCCGCAGAGCAGTGCCACAGCCCACTTTGGTGGGTGCAATGCCAGCTTTGGCCCCTCAGCCCACTTGCCTCTCTGGACTCTCTCCTGACCCCTTCACTTCTGAGTGTGTCTCCCTCCGGCTGTGCAACGTGTAGGCTGCTGGCGCAGCGGGAGGCGGCGGGAGTGCAGTGGGACAGTCTTAGTGCTGAGCCTTCGGGATGTGGTGGCCTCCAGGACTCGGCCTGCGTCTCGCAGACGGGACCAAGGAGGATACAGATGCCATCTGACGGATGCTCTGAGTCCTCACTCCCTGTGCGCTTTCTCATTCCAGCGATCCTTTCATTTGAACTTGTACATGACAACTAAGGTTGGCGTTCTGAGGAACGGGAACGTGGGGCCACTGTCCTGACTTTCTCTTGGGTGTGTGTGTTTGGGGCTGAGGTGGCTGCAGCCTTGGTGCCCGCTGGCTCTGTGCCTCGCTCCTCTGAGGCCTGTGTGTGTCTGTCTGTGCTTCGGAAGCTGTTCTCCATACTTCCCTTCTGTGAAGGTGGGAGCTGTGTGACCACTGCTGAAGGAGGAAAGCGCAGCGTCCATCAGGAATCCCTCCTCATTAGCCCAGTGAACTGTGTTAATAGAAACGCACATACACAATAAACATTAAAAAACCTTGGGAAGCATTTTGTACTGCTGTGATGTGCCAGGATACAGACCACCTAAGAGTAAGGCTGGGAGACACAGGCTAGTGCTGGTGTGGGTGTAGTGTGCAGAGCACAGGGACACGAGCTTGCTTGGGAGGGAGGGATCGCAGCCTGGGAAGCCCCTGCCGATCACAACCAGCCACCACCTCCACTGTGTTCGCCACCGCTAGGAGCGTTAGAGTGCCAGCCATCAGGACCAGGCTGTCCAGGGTCCCAGTTGGTGCCCATTCTAAGGAAGTCAGCTTGGAGAGTGCAGCCACCTGATGCTGGAGACTCGGCCATGGGTCCTGGGCTATTCTGCCCTCTGGCTGCCCCTGGGGAGAATGCCTTTCCAGTTTAGCACTGTCCCATCCCTCCGTGGAGAAGTGCTTGGGTGGTGTGATTGTCCTGCTGTACTTTCGTAATCATGACTATGTTGAATACGCTTGTGTTTTAGCCACTACTATTGAGTGGTCACTGTAAACAGTTGCTGAATAACCTATTTTTAATACAGAATATCCAGAATGATAGGTGCGCTTTATAATAGGTAAATGTACTGTTTACCTGCTGGCTGGGCACATGACTCCACCTGCTGTGGGTGTAACTGACCAGAGGTGCTCACAGAGTGACTGCCCAGGGAAAGCAGTGCAGCGAGGGGACACCTGCTGTGGGGTGACTGACAGGTGCTCACAGAGTGACTGCCCAGGGAAGGCAGTGCAGTGAGGGGACACCTGCTGTGGGGTGACTGACAGGTGCTCACAGTGAGGGGACACCTGCTGTGGGTGTGACTGACAGGTGCTCACAGTGAGGGGACACCTGCTGTGGGGTGACTGACAGGTGCTCACAGTGAGGGGACACCTGCTGTGGGTGTGACTGACAGGTGCTCACAGTGAGGGGACACCTGCTGTGGGGTGACTGACAGGTGCTCACAGTGAGGGGACACCTGCTGTGGGGTGACTGACAGGTGCTCACAGTGAGGGGACACCTGCTGTGGGGTGACTGACAGGTGCTCACAGTGAGGGGACACCTGCTGTGGGGTGACTGACAGGTGCTCACAGTGAGGGGACACCTGCTGTGGGGTGACTGACAGGTGCTCACAGTGAGGGGACACCTGCTGTGGGGTGACTGACAGGTGCTCACAGAGTGACTGCCCAGGAAAGGCAGTGCAGTGAGGGGGGTTCTCCACAAAGAACAAGAGGAGAAGGAGAAGGGCTGGGGGTTGGTCTTCTGGGGAGAGTCCTCCTGCAGCCTGTGGTCTTGCTGTGTTTGTGCGCCAAGAGGGACAGTGCAGCAGGGTCCCCAGACCAGGAGGCCCCTAAATGTGCTCCCTGGATGAATTTGAACTTGTGTACGCCCTGCCCGCACCTGGCTTCCCGTGCAGGTCACTTGCTCTGCCTGCACTGTCATCCTTTTTTTCTTACGCTCTCAACTGTGTCCTCTTTAACCAACTATACTGTTATCTTTTAATGTTAAAGGAATTTTAACTCTTGTCAATGTGGTTTGTGCAGATGTATGTCAGAACAAATGTACAATATCTGTCAAAAATCTATTTGAATCCAGTGTCTCGTTGCTGTGAAAAGCTGGCTGTCTGGTTCCCCATCTGTCGGGTGGTGTCTCAGCTTTGGACGTGGCAGCCAAGAACTTGACAACGTCTGCATGTTAGGTGGTGACTGAGAAACCAAGTCACGCTCCTACAGGCTGTGGTTTCCGTGCCAGTCTTGGGAAAGATGTCAGCTGGGGGACCTCGCTGTGTGGAGTGGGGTCGGTCGGTCCGGAAAGGGCCCCGTTAGCCCAGGTCTAGCTCGGTGTGGTCTGTAAGCACAGCAGGAGCAGGTAAGTTCCCAGCTGCCAGCCGCGGGCGGGGAGAGAGCGCCACGCAAGGCGGCCAAGTGGCAGGGCTGGCATGCCACACGCACAGTGGCTGCTGTGGCAGCGTGCATCCTGAGGATTCCCGGCTGCGTGCTGGTTGGGCCAGATGGGCCAGCACGCCTGGCCTCTCTGTGAAGGCCCACTGGGGGGCCGGTCCTCCCAGCCTCTGACTCTGCCCTCTGTGCTCTCCCCACAGAGGCGTCAGGAAGAAGGCTACTACAGTCGCCTGGAAGCCGAGAGACGCAGACAGCACGAGGAGGCTGCGCGCAGGCTGCTGGAGCCCGAGGAACCAGGGCTCTGCCGCCCCCCGCTGCCCCGGGACTATGAGCCCCAGGGCCCGGCCCCTGCCCCTGGCGCCCCGCCGCCCCCGCCCCAGCGGAACACCTCCTACCTCAAGACCCAGGCTCTGGCCCCGGACTCGCTGTTCACTGCCAAGTTTGTTGCCTACAGTGAGGAAGAGGAGGAGGCGGAGGAGGACTGCGGCCTAGCAGGTCAGGAGAAGCATGCCAGCACCAGGAAGTCCCTCGGGCACCTTCCTGCTGCCGAGCGGGTGCCACAGCCACGCCCAGTCTCTGGTGGCATCTTTCTCTCCACCTCATGCCAGCCACCGTCCGCCACGGCCAACAGTACTGCTCCCAAAGCAAGGCAGCCCCCGTCCCTTCCAAAAAAGCCGAGCTGCTTCCGTCCTGGCCAGCCTAAAGGTAGAGGGCCCAATCACGCCCGTTCTCGTCTCTGTGATCAGACCTGCCGCTGGGCCAGGCCTCACGGCCACACTTGCTTCACGGGTGTGACTCTTCCTTCTGATTGGAGTCTCTGCTGGCGTGATTGTGGTCCAGGGCTCAGCGCTCTGCTCTGCGGGCAGTTGCGTGTCTAATCAGTGGTGACAATCAGTCCTCCCTCCTGCCTGATGCCCTGAAGTACTGTTGGTCTTGGTCTCCATTCTTCCTCTGCATTCTGATCTCTTGCTGCTCATTCTGGCGTCTCAGGACAAATGTGTGTGGCACGCCTCCCTGTTGCACTGTTAGCTGGGTTCAATATTTATTGCTCACATGGTGGTGTGGGCAGGGCAGTGGGAGACAGCCCTAAGCTCTAGACCCCCACCTCCCTGCCCTGTGTAACCAGCAGACACCCCTGCTGTCCCTTCATATACTCAGCAACCAAACCTTGTGGGCACGTGGTAGCCGCCAGCTCCAGAGCCCGACTCCTGGCCCGGCACCCTGGGTATGGCACAGATCACGTGTCTAAAAGGACACTGGTCATCCAAGGCGTGACTTTGGAATGTCTTTAAGCGATTACCGAGTCTGCTCCATCTAGCCTCAGCCCCTGTGGACAGTAGGTGTCTCTCACAGGTCCCACACAGACACAAGGTTTGGTAGCAGAGAAGTCACCTCAACCTTGCTGTCCCCATTGCATCTCCCTCCTGCTCGGCCCCTCGGAAGACTCCCCACCCCCACTGTGAAGGGCTGAGCATGTGGCGTCCTCATCATCTCACTGCCTGGCCCAGGACTGTCTGCTGATACTGGCTTCTGCACACGGCTCAGCACCTGCCCTTGGGACTGCAGGGAGGGAGTGAGGATTCCTGTTGGATCCAATGTGGCGATGTGGTGGGAAGGATGGGTGGTTGACAGCATTCCCTCTCTTCAGCTGGAAGGAGTTGATGGGCTTAGCAGTTCTGAACATCCTGAAGAACTGATTGGTACTAATGGAAGAAACCAGTATCACTCATGAAGCAAAGCTCAAACGATAGAACTCAATGTTGTAAACACAAGTGAGAAGAAGGGACTTGGGACTGAGCCAGAACTCCCACGAGGCAGGTTGTCTGCCCCAGGCTTCTTTACTGAGGACAGGGTGGTCCAGGCTGCTCGGGCATAAAGGTAGAATGCCACGTGGTACCAGGCAGGAGAAGCAGCCATGTCCAGCTGTTGTAACAGGGCTGTGCGCTGGTCAGTGCAGTAGCCCCTGCTGGCAGTGCTTGCTGGCTGTTCCAGGCATGGGTTACCCCAACCTAAATGGCCGTAAACACAGTTTTGCTAGTGTTAAAGTTAATGCAGACACATGAATACTGCTGTGGGGCGTCTGGTGTCAGGTCCCACCGCAGTACCATCACAGCTTCTTATCCGAGTCTTCCGGGCAGGCATGGTGTGTGCCCCGCTGAGGGCCACCCGTCCCCTGACTGTGCTCCCTGGCGGTGGCCTTGTACTGCATCAGCAGTGCAGATGGAATAAAAGAGGGTTTTAGTAGTTTGTTTTAAAGGCTTTATTTTGCTTTTAATAATTATAGTTACTTAATTATTTTCTAAAGATTATTTAAAAGAGCAGCAGATAGAGAATCTTGCATCCAGTGCTTCACTTCTCAGATGGCTGCAGCAGCCAGGGCTGGGCTAAAGCGAAGCCAAGAGCCAGAAGCTCGTCTCCCACGTGGGTGACAGAAACCCAAGTGCATGGGCCGCCTCCCCCTATCTTCTCGGGCCAGGAGCAGGAAATGGGAACAGCTGAGATTCCCCCACTGCACGGCTGTGCCAGCCCCCGTGCAGCTGTGCTACCACAGGAGCCAGTGCAGCTGTGTGGCTGCACCTTACTTACCCAGAAGCCTGCTGTCGGAACAGGGCCCATGCCCTGCCCTCCTCCCCTGAGTTGGATCCAACTGGAACCTGTGGGAAGCAGTGCAGGGCACAGCCAGCATTGGGCTTGGGCAGTGGCCACACCCCTCAAGCCCATGGGAGTTGGGCATCTTCAATTGATCTTTGCCCAGTGTGCAGAGCCGTTGATTTCCTATCTGTTCAGTAGACCATGTTGCTTTGGGCATTGCATCTTCATCCTGAGTAAAGTTTGAGGGTAATGCAGGAGCTTAAACTTTTACTTATTTATTACTTATTTTTTCATGGGAAAGCACCAAACTCTTACGTGGGACCTACCGGGACGGGCATTGGAGCCCACAGTGCTTACCAGGATCCGCGAGAGAAACACTCGAAAAGGTACTGTCTGTTATGCCAGGCGTTGGCTGCCCTAATGGCCCCTGTCATCCCTCATGGCATTCCTAAATTCCCAGGACTGCGTCATCAGCTCTGGCATTCCCCAGTGTCCCCTCGCTGTAAGCGCGGAGAGGCCTGGTAAGGCCTGCATGGCTCTCAGTGTCCCATTCTGCACTGTGACGTGTGTGCCCACAGTCGGGGGCATAGGAGCAGTGCCGAGGCACAGCTCGGCCGCATGGAGGCATCCCAGCCCACATCTGTGTGCGTGCCATGGCTGTTACTGAATGGCGTACATGGCAGGTTACAGAAGAGCCAAGAATGGAGCTCACTGCTGGGCATTGGCTGCTGGACTCTGACAGCAGGGAGCTCCTTCCCTTGGCCCTGTGTGGACTTCCACACAGCCCAATGCCGTTAACTGCAGGAGGGCTGGCCTCAGCGTCCAGCGTGGCGTCCAGCGTGGCGTCCAGCGTGGCGTGCGCCTCCTGGCCGGGATTGTCACTGACATGTTCTCTCTGACCTCTCCTGCAGCCACGACACGGATCCACCCGGTGGCTCTGGAGCCCCTGAGAACTTGACATTCAAGGAACGCCAGCGTCTCTTCTCGCAGGGTCAGGATGTGTCCAATAAAGTGAAAGCGTCTCGCAAATTAACAGAACTGGAGAACGAACTGAACACCAAGTGAAGCCGGCTGCGGCCGTGCGGCTGTGCCCGGGTCTGTCGTGGGTCTGTGGTGGCTGTGACTTTGAAGGAGGGGGAGATGTTGCTAGGTGGTGTGGGCATCTGGATCTGGAGCGGTGTGCTGATTGTGGCTTTACCGAGAGATGCTCGCTGCTGCGGCTGGAGCGGGCTCCCGTTCCTTCCTCTCTGTCTGATGGGGAGATGGGTGGGCTGGTTTTCTTTGGTGGAGTCTGACGTAGAGAGAGTACAGGATGAGGTGGTCCCACCCACCCTCATCACCCACCCTCATCACCCCCTAATCCTCCTCGTAGTGAGGGGCATCGGCAGAGAAGTCCCGTTTTTACTTTCTTAAAAATCCTTGTTGCCTCCCTGCTGAATGGTTTGAGCTGCTGGAGTGCTGTTTGCACCGCTCGGTGCCTGCCTGCAGAACATGCCTGCCGGCAGCTCCCCAGCAACGGCCATGCTGCAGGCCCAGGGTCCTGTGACACCAGCGACTGCCCATGCACCCTGAGCAGCTCTGAGTATTTAAGAGAGGACACCTCCTAGCAGGAAGTTTGGGGACTTAACCCTAGGATGTTTTGTTTTTAGAAATACCCAGTAGTTACTAGGTTAATCAATCATGGATGAATTTGGATATGACAGTTAGGTTAGAAAGTCAGCTGCTGTTTGGATATTCTGGGGGATGCTGAAAAAGGCCCCTGAGACCAGGAACCAGGAAAGCTGGCGTGGGGGGTGGGGGGCCACGATGACACTGGGCAGGCCTCTGGGGCCCCAGGGGCTCGTGTCCATGGAGTGCTGTCAGGGAGAAGAGAGATGGAGGGGCTGTGGTGTCTGGGTGTACATGTCCTGAGAACATAGAGCAGTTGAAGCCATTTTTCGCCGTCTGGTAGTTATTTAATGTTACTGATGACACTGTCACTGGTCCGGCTGCGGTGGGCGGACAAACCTCAGTGTGTGGATGTTCCGTGCCGTGGTGGCCCAGGCAGAACGGCCTCGCTGTCCTGGCCATTCCTGACGCCTTTGTTAGGGAAGGACACAGTCTGCGCTGCCTGTGAAGCCCCGGTGCATGACACTGCGAGTGTAGACAGTTTACACGCCCCGCGGTTCCTGTTCTGAGTGTCAGGGAAGGGGCAGTGTGCCTGCTGTGCCAGGCCACGGCCCCACCAGCCTGAAGATCGCCAGCCCATGCTGCCTCAAGGCAAGCTGGTGCCGAGATCACTGCTGTGTTCATATGTAGAAAGACACGTGAGAGTTGTGGAACACATGTACATACCCGCCTTGGGCACGCATGTGGCTGAGAGCCCCACGGGAGGTGGGCACGGCCACCCTGTGGCTGTGGGGTCCAATGTGAGTCTGTACAAGAGCTTCTTCTAATGACCGGCTTTACTCTGCACACATCCCAACTGCTGTGGCTTCCCGTTTCTACTGTATCCCGGTTCAGCCTATTTTTAATAAACTTTGTTATGTATTTAACTGTGTGTGCTGTTAATCCTGGAGTGCCGACCTGGTGGTCGTGTGTGGTAGCGGCCTGGCCTTGGGGCTGCTGCTCAGGAGGTCTTCCCTGCAGTGAGGCAGGTCGGAGTACAGGAGCCACCAGGGTGGCTGGGGGAAGCTACACAAATGACTTGAGTGTGCAGCAAGGCTCCCAGCCAGTCAGGATGCAGAACCACGGCCTGGCCAGGCTGGTGCAGGCCAGACTTGAAGACTGCCCCTGCTTGCTACGCCTCAGTGTGCGCCGGCCTTGGCTCCCCCTGCCTACACCTGATGCTGCACACAGACCGAAAGCACCTTCCCGGGAGACTGAGACCTGCACGGTGGGGAGGTGGCAGACTCCGTCGGGGAGGGCATCCTGGGACTGGAAGCTGCACCAGCCAGGGTGCGTGCATGGGGCACTCCAGAGACTGGCGTCAGGCAGTATCCCCGAACCTTAGGGCCCTGTTCTGTGCATGGGGAGTGTTCTCTGCTGTGCCACTGCCAGAAGAACTGAAATGTGAGAGTGACTTGCAGTAGGGTAGTCCTGCAGGTCCGGAGGATGCACTGTGCAAAGTGCGAAGTGCTGGTGCTCAGCGCCCGCCCGCCCGCCTGCTGCCCCAAAGCAGCCACTGCTGGTGGCTCACTGTCTGCCCGCCTGCTGCCCCAAAGCAGCCACTGCTGGTGGCTCACTGTCTGCCCGCCTGCTGCCCCAAAGCAGCCACTGCTGGTGGCTCACTGTCTGCCCGCCTGCTGCCCCAAAGCAGCCACTGCTGGTGGCTCACTGTCTGCCCGCCTGCTGCCCCAAAGCAGCTGGTCTTGAGGGGATGGAGAGCCACCAGGCTTGCAGGAGCAAGCGCTTCCTGGCCTGACCGGTTCTAGAAGACGCTAGGTCACCTGGGCTTCACCAGAAAGACACATTGTTTTGTGTTTTCTTTCTTGCATTTAGGTCAAGTGCTCTGCAGGTGTAAGACTTCTTTGCTGGGGGGGGGGAGGTGGCTGTTGCCCACACCCCCTCCAGAGAGTGCTGATTGGCCTCTCAGCTACCGTGTGTCGTGTCTTGCCAGACAGCGAAGGCAGGAGCCAGGGCAGCCTTCCATGTGGGTGGCAAGGAACTGGGCACACAGGCCACCACCTGCTGCCTTGAGGCCCATGGGTACAGAGCTGGGCTCTTAGTGGTATAGTGGGATTGGCACCAACATGCAGATATGGGACCTGCTTGGCCTGCTGCACCCATGATGCCTGCCATGGGGACCATCTTAAGTTCCCGTGCAAATCGTAGGCACTTCAGAGAAGTGACCAGCCCAGGCAGGAGAAGCCCAGGGCGAGGTCCATGGCCCTGCAGGGACAAGAGAGCGGGCGTGTTAGGACTGTGGTCAGTGTGATGTGTTTACCCTGCCGTGGAGAGCCCTGTTGTGCCAGCTTTGGCATCTGCCAGGGCATGGGGAGGTAATGGGCTGAGCCCTTCAGGGAGGCAGTGGCTGTCCTGGCGGTGTGGTTACTGGGGGCTGGGGTTGCGGATGTGGAGGTTGGAGATGAACCAAGCCCACTTGCCTGCCAGGTGGAATCTTTCCCCACTGTGGGCCTGCTCGACTGTACCCTTTCTGCCGTTCTGTTCTTTTACTGAACTGCAGGCATCAGTGGGTCTAGCTTACTAGGACACCTGGAAACTGAGGTGGATTTTTCAGGTGTAAACCAGTGTGCTAGAACCCCTGGCAGCAGCCCACAGGGGCTGGGGATAACCGGCTGCAGCGTGGAAAGGCGCCTGGGTCCTTTCTGACTGTAGGTTCAGTCTTGAGTGCAGTGACCTGAGGATGTTGCTTGGAACTGCTCCGTGCACAGGATGACACACTCAGGCCAGGCTGGGAGCCAGCACCATTGTGGCAGGGGTCTGCTGGACACGGGAGGCTCCGGGGAGGCCTGCACTCAAGGAATCCGTGGACTGCGATGGGGAGGCCGCGTCCAGCCCCAAACGCAGTGCAGGAGGAGGCGGCCAGCTGGGCGCGCCGGCAGTGTGGTCCCGCGAGGGTGGCTGTTGCGCGCGCAGGCCGGAAGTATGTGAAGCAGGTTCGCTGACCCCATCCTCTCCCAATCCGCTCCGCCCCCCGCCGCTTCCATGACACCACAAGAGGCCGTGGGGTGGAAGCGCGCAGGCGCAGACCGGTGTACTTACCGTCCGCCTGCGATCCCTGTACCGGCCTTCCGCCCTAATCCCAGGTGGACCGTGGACCTGAGGCCAGAGCGAGCATGCCTTATGGCAGCGGGCGATGGGGGAGCTTTTGGGAGATGCGGGGGCGGCAGCTGCAGCATCGAGTGCGGGTGAGGCTAGAGCGGCAGGGGTACCTCTGGGATGGGGTTCCCGGTTTGGGAACAGCACTCTAGGCCCTCCTGGGGCCGACCCCGCCCGCCTGGGCCCCCAGCCCACCTGGGCCCCCTCCTGGAGCCACATCGCGGCTGGGTTGCATCAGATCTCAGGAGGGTAACTGGGACGCAGTGTCAGAGGGCCTGGGCAACAGTGCCTAGTCTCCCTGATTCACAGGGGTTTGCCTATGAGGTGACTGGGCGCCTAGGTGTGGTACAGCTCTTGGGGCTGTGAGGCCTCTATGGGGAGATAGGGTGAACAGAGCAGAGCGCCCAGCAAGAGCAGGGCTAACTGGGCAGGGGTGGAAACCCCCGCTGTTGGGCTGGGGCCTGCCTTGCATCTGGAGGGTGGGGCGTGGGGACTTTGTCAGTTTGCGTATGCATGGAAACTTCTCCGTCTCCTGTGACTGCCTTTATGGTAGCCCTAACCTGGGAGGTGGCTGAGAAGGTGGGGCATGGCTTTGTGCCTTGCTCAGGCCTCCATCACCAAGTGCAGGAGGCTGGCAGGACGCCTGCACACTGTACTCCCTCTGGCCCCAGGAGCACCAAGGACACCAGGTGCAAGGGTGGCCGGAGTTCCTGTCCAGGAGGTCACTACGGGACGGGGGGTGGGCATGCTCGACGGGTGAGGAGAGGGCAGCCTCTCAGTACACCTCCAGTTCAGGAGCCACGCGTCCAAGCTCACAGTCTTGGCATCCCCCAGGCAGATGTCACCACCCCCTGCATCCTCACGGAATCTTCTCCAGCATTCATTCATTCATTCATTCATTCTCTCTCTCTCTCTCTCTCTCTCTCTCTCTCACACACACACACACACACACACACACACACACACACACACACACACCGTGTAGCTGCCTGCCCAGACCGCCTACTTCTAGAAGGACACTGGCCCCAGCCTCCTGGCTGCAGTCTACCTTAGTCACCTCTTCCTGGAGGGTGGTGGATTGGGACTTAAGAGTGGGAATGGGACCATCTGCCCTCCTCCCCCGTGAGGCTGCTCAGCAGCTTCAGGGAAGGGAGCCAGCACCCAGAGCTGTTATGTTGTGGGATGTGCCTGCTCCTGTGCCAGTGAACGGAGAAGTGAGGCCTGGCATGTGCACTTGATGGGAGAGGCTGCGGGCTGCTGCTAGCAGGGGGCCGAGGACATCATGCTTGTCCAGCATGTCACACTCACGGGCCAGCAAGCAGCAGGAGGGATCACTCAGGCAAGTTGAGTCAGTTCACGTGCCAGCCACTTCAGTTGTCCCGAGTCGGGGAGCCTCTACCATGGCCTCCCACGCTGGGCCCCAGCAAGTTCAGGGTCATGTCCCTGGGGTGCACCAGTGGTAAGACCGACACTTTGGGTCTCTCCAGAACAGGATTGGCCATGCCATCGCCAAATCAGCTGGTGACTGGGAGGGTCCGAAGCTCTGAGGCTCCTGGGGAGCACATGGGCCCAGTGGAGGCAGCACTGCCTGCTCTGCCCAACCTGCCAGGTCTGTAAGGAACCACCTAAGAGGGGGCATTGGACCTCAGTGAGTGACAGCAGGTGTGCCGACTGTCTGTAACCAGCGTTCCCCAAGCCACGAGGGATCGTGCAGACACCATAGTGTGTCTCCTGCAGTATTGGTGCCTCTTGATGTCATGACATCACAGCCAACATGAGCAGTGTGCTGCATGGCCCGGTTGTAAAAGGAAGATTTCAGGAAGGGGTCAGCTGACCGAGACTGAAGCATTAACGGAACCCAAGAAAGATGGAGGTGTTTATAGAGGGCAGTTGGAGGCATAGGATTGGGAGAGAGGCCAGGGGCAGAAAGGCCTCTGAAAGAGGTCCCTGCTAAAGACATTCCCAGTCGGGGAAATTACGACTCCACACACTGGAGATCGGTGGTGGAGGTCAGTCCGCATGTGTGTGCTCCTTCCTTGGACCTGGGGTGCACATGGCCTCAGCGCATCACGTGGGACCGTGCTGGGAGCGTGAGGTGGGTTTAGCTGGTTCAGGTGTGTGTGTAGCAGTGCCCAGGGCAACTGCTAAGATGACAGGAAACAGTGGGAAAGATTCTGGAGACAGCAAGGATGGCCTGTTGGAGAGCACGCGCAGGAGCGCCTGCTGCAAGGGAAGATGACGGTTGGTGGACACAGAAAGCCGAGCAAGCTGGCCGGCGTGGTCATCTACAACACGAGTGGAGGAAGTCAGTGAAGAAGCCGAGATTGTCTTACAGAATGAATGTGATGCTGGGCCCAGCTCTGTGTGGTCCAGACTTCAGGGTGCCAGTGAGTGAGCAGTGCAGGTGTGGGGAGGACCACACTGTCGCTCCACCCACCACAAGGAAGCTGAGGATGACAGCAGACAGAACAGTGTGCAAGACGGGGGTGCCGTCAGAGACTGGCAGTGTGTGATAAGGTGGTTGTAAAAACCACGACTGTGGCTCAGCAGGGCTCTGGGGTCATGCAGAATGGCAGCTGAAGGCTCTGGCGCTCCACTTCTAACCAAGGTCACACGAGTAGGGGGACAGTAGGGACAGAGGTGTAGTGAGAAGCCCACTCCCAGGGGCATCATGGGTGTATGCCTGGCACCTGTGGCGCCCACACCTCCCAGGAGGGGCTGGAAGGCAGGGGGATCAGGCCTCCCAGCCAGTGCTGGCACCACATGGCCAGTT